AATAAAATTTTAATATATATATATATATATGTATGTATATATGATGTTGTTGATCTCTATATGTCTTAACTAGACGTGATGCTTATAGATGATGTATGATGAGGTGTAGATGTTGAGAGTGCGGTATGACGTTAATGAATATTTGCTAACTTAAGACTTGAGGAGAGAAAATCATTTTTGAAAATCCCACATAGGAAATCTTGGAGTGGTGCACTACCGTTGGAAAACCCTTCGTAAGTAGGTATGTCTCTTGGAGTGAGTTTTGATGTGTGTTGAGTTTCTCTAGATCGTTAGTTAGTGGTTGAATAATGTAGGAGGTTGAGGGCTACAATCCTTAACCAAATACCTAGAAAGGTTACGTGGTTTCTTAACGATAATTAATGAGCAAACTCCATATGTGACTTGATAATATATGCCAAGATCTTGGTAAATCTATACCCAGTTATACTATTCCTAACGGTAGAATTGGACTTTCTTAGTATAAGTGACAAGACTCGAGAAATTAGAGGATCGATTGATATCCCATTTTTTTTGTGATTGAGCCAATGCTTCAAGTGCGAAAGTGATTGGGTTGGTTTAGTAAATTAAGTGGAGTCACTTAGACTATTCATGTTGTTAGAAACTCTTCATAGATGAATGTATAATAATGCATTGGTTGATATGTTTGCATATGATCATGTGCATTGTTAAATGTCTTGCTTGACATGGAGTAGTATATGTTTTGTTATGATGTTGTGGGTTATAAAATTGTTTTCTATACTTATATGTTTTCGAACTCTAGTTTACCCATTTTTGTTTCCATATAGTTTGAACTACGATGATTATACGTTGTATGAGAGCAAATCAAGACTAGACTTGAGGAACTACTGCTAACAAGTGGTGTGATCTTTTATTAATAACAGTTACTACATGTAGCTTGTATAGTTGGACTCAATCGACAATAAGATAGGATAATTTTTTAGATTACTGTATACATATATATAACTTATTTATATTAGTATAGGGGTGTTACTTTTATATTCATGTTATATATGCATGTATGACACATTCTCTCATTTATCTTGAATGTTCTAGTAGGCTAGTTTCCACTATTAATTATAATGATTCTATTAAGTATGACGATTAGGGTGTATCGTTACAATAACATCTTTAACCTTATATGTATTTCTTCAATTCACTAATCATCATATTTTTAATATTTAAAAAATATTTTAAAATAGATAATATTTTTTAATATAATATTAATTATTTTTTAATTTGCACTTTCATAAATGATTCATTCTAACATATTTTTTTTAGAAGATAGACTATTTTAATAAAATTGTATAAAAAATAATATATTTATTGTTGTCTTTTATTCATGTGTAAAAATCTTAAGTTGTCATCACCATGTAATTAAGTAGTAAAATGTACGGTCCAAAGTTATAAAAAAAACGTATCTCATAATACTGAATTAAATGTTTATATAGTGTTGTTGACACTTAAAAATCATAAATGCAAATATGAATCTCATTCAATGATCCAAAATATTTAGAGGGATTTTATTAAAAAGTTAATCATTTATATACTGTTAATGTAAAATTTTTTTATACCGACAATTAATTATATCTTTTAATTGTGTCATGTCACTATAAACATATTTACTTTTAACAGTGACATGACATAATTAAAAGATATAATTGGTTGTCAGTGTAAAAAACTTTACACTGACGTGTATTGGTGATTAACTCTTTATTAAATGGTATAACATAATTAACATCAGATTTTTTTATTATTTATTTTTTTTATCTTTAAGAATCACAATTAACAAAATTTAAATTTAAGACTATCTACATATTATTTAAGACTACTCTCACTATTAGACTTATCCTAATAATTTTATATTAAATAACTTTTGAATTCATTATCGGTTACATTAAATATCCATTTGAAACATAATTTGTGATTGTATTGCCATAATTAATGCCATTACCAATAGTATTGCTTAAGTATTAGAAAGAAAAATATTTTTACTCATTTGCGGATATGAATTTGTACGCTTGCCAAATTTAATGTTCACAAATTTTGTGAAGGATCATTAGAAGTAGATAACTGATTTTCCAAAGAATGGTTGAAATTCACATGATATTGTTTCCCTAGGTGTTAATTAGATTAATGGCGTAACAGAGATCTTCTCTAGAAGAGCTATGATACCATTAGAGTTTCATGTATAGCACTAAAGAAGAACAATTATAATAGCCCCAATTATTGATTTATTGCATTACTTATTAAATGTTCATAAACAAAACAAAAGAATATAATAATAATAATAATAATA